ACTAAACAGTGCTCTGGGAAAAATACTTGCAAATTAACTGCTTACGGAAACTGGAGTGTAAAAAACTTAATGTTACTCACATCATCTATCTCCCAACAGTTTTTTAAAGAGTTTTGCTGACTCTTAGAATCTCCAGACTGGGAAATCTGTTTTGTGAGCCTACAGCAACAAAAGTTAGAGCCAGACTTTGGCTCAGTGAGTAATTTCAAGAAAAGAAATGTTCCAGTTGGGCCAGTCTCAAACATTTGAATTCATTCCCTGTGAGGGACAGAGCTGTAGCCTTCTTAATCTGAAATGCTGCAAAAGTTTAGTGAAAATATACTGACTGTAGTAGCATGAATTTCCTTGAGGTGCAGAAATTAAGTCCCTTCCTGCAGCAAATTGCTGTCAGAGGCAAGAATAGACTGTAGTTCTGAATATTACAAAGTGTCCACCATAAAACAATGGTCAGTATGAGGAACCAGTACCAGTAATGGCACTGGGCTCTTCCGTACAGGACTCTGGATCCTTTACTAAAGCTTCCTCTGCCTCTTCCTCATAGATACGGAAAACAACAGCCAGTCAAGTTTACGAAATGTTGATAACCTACAGTGATGTAGTTGATCCTGCCATTATGGATGAGGTTATGACCATACTCGGTGATACCAACTGGTAAGTCAATTTGTTGCCAGATAGTAGTAATAAGAGCTGAAATAGTTTTTGTACCACTGAAGTTAAAAAAAAGTCCATGCCTTTGAAAGCTGATGGCAAGGAAGCTGTAAGAAATGATACCATAGTTCCAGCTATTTATTGCTTCTAGGCCAGAAAAGCATTGCTGAAAACAATTCTTCTGTTCTAAAGAACTATCTAGTATACTGTCCCACTGGAAGTGGTATGTATAAAATTACCACTAGATAAAGTAAAATATCTGTATTTTTCTAACAACATAAAAAGGGAGGAAGTCTTGGAAATTCTCCATGAAACAGAGAGAGACTGGGCTGTGCAAACAGTCAAACTTCAACTGCACAGACAGTTTCTTGGCATTTATGAGCACTGGCAGGATTTTGGGAAAGGAAGGATCTCTGCAAGCTGGAAAACAACAGAATTAGCAGAACAGCTCAAATCTCCCATGAAATGTAATTACTCAAAATACTACAAACGTATTCAAGCAAGTATTTTGAATCGGAACACTTCAGACATTTCCCAAGTATATGATTGCATGAATTAAACAACCAGTTTTATATAACGTAATTCTTTTTTTTTTTTTTACCTACTGTTACCTGTAATGTTAGCTTCTTCCAAGGGCAAGGGAGATAGGGTCCTGTTCTTCATAAGCAAGAGTCACCAAAGCAGCCAAGTGTCTTTCAGGGGCAGGAGGAACTCATTCTGTCAGCACCTTTGAAGTGACAGGACGAAGGAATACTCACCATAATTTTGGCACTGTTTTTTTCCCTTTCTGCAAATTTTAGTGTTGTGCATTATAGTCACCTGGAAAAGTTTGTAAAAGACTGCATGCCTCAGGTATTTGAGGAAATATTTTAAGATACTACTTGGTGGGGGTTTTTTTGCTGCTGCATTAAACAATTTTCTTGACAACTCTCCTGGGTGATGGGTCTACTAGCCCAACACCCTGCCTCATAGAGTAGTCAAAGGTAATACGTGAGAATAGACAGATAGAAAAAATATGTATTTTATTTAGTCATTATATTATATGGCTTTTTGTCTTCACTGATGTTTCATAGAAATAAAATTAACCTAGACATTTTCAAAGAACACATACACCTTAAAGTTGTAGTTTACATATCTTCAGACTGCATGCTTTTATTATTTAACTTTTATTTACTTTCTAGTTTATTTCTGTGCTGGAGCTTAAATAACTTCATATTTGGGAAAAGAAAACTAAGTGTGTCACTGTTATTAGACTAATGGTCTCAGATTTGAAGAATTGGTTATCAACAGTTCTGCCTGTTGTTAAAATTACTTGCTTAACTACCTGTTGATGTGTAGTATTGTGTTTAGTGTGATTCAGTGCTTGCTTATGAAATCTGAATTTAAGAGCAGGCTTGCTCAGAAGTTACATAAAGAATTTGTTAACAGAAACAATGGAGTAGGATTAGATTACTGCTGTCACAAAGGGATGTTTACAATACCAAAATTAGAAGTAAGTAGTACACACCGCATGGCTACAGAAAAAGCAGTGGTAGTATAGCTCTACTCACTCATAAATGGGTTACTAAAACAAAGCAAAATACTTCCTAAAAACCACTTCAGAAAACTAGATATTCTGTTTTCACCTTGTCATTTTTAAGGTGTGACTGCCTGCCTGTTTTATTCTGTCTTAGTTCAGGGCTTGATCTAAGTTCCCTGTTGCAGTATGTCCACTACACTGAGATGAAAGATGAAGAGCTAGTTTACTTAAAGCTTAATTGTTTTATCACGGTAGATTTGAACTGTTTACAAAAGAACATATTTGAAGTCATTGCTGAGTGTCAGAGAAAGCTGCTTGTTATTCTCAAGCTCTCTCAGTGCTAAAACAATCATAGTAAATTCTGAATTACAATAAGCATTAACTTCAGGAAGCCAAATGAGAATATTTGGGGAAGATAATAATTACTGGCATACGCAGATTTGTTCTTTGTTGGAACTACAGAGAGTTTATCATACAACTGTATAATTCAGAGTTTAAACAAATTACTGTATAAATAATAAATTTTGTTTAGCTAGAGGAAGGTTTCCAGTATTAAACACGACAAATTGTTCAAGGTGTCAAAAAAAAAAAGAGTTCAGGTTATTTCTAACTTGCCCTTTATGCTTCTTCTCTGTAGTTTTGGACTCTCTATGTGCTAAGAGTTAAATTTTTAGTAGCTCATTTACAGTTGTTACTTTAGAAAAACAAAAGAAATCCACTGAATTGGTGAGTAATACTAGCAGTCTCACAGCATTCCAGTTAGACTGGCAGATTTTTTTACAACAAGGAAAAGAATGTTGTCTGTATGGATTTTTGGCATTTGGGGGCTTTTTGTAACTGACAGTTCTTGAGGAAATTATCTATGTATGTCATGGACATCATGCTATTTCAGAAACTTTTGAAAAGACTCACAAATTTTAGGTCTGGATTTTCAATTTCAGGAGAAACCTTCTTTAGATAGTAGAATATTCTCCAAATCTAGTGACATATATTTAAATTCTTGATGTGAAATTTTCTAAAGCAAAAAGGAGCTGTAAATTTAGATAATAAATCAGTGAGCGTCTAGTCAAAAGGGTTGTATGAATAAGTGCTATTTTTTTGGAACACAAAAATCTAAAAGAATAGTCTCAAACACTTTACTAGTAACTGTCACTTCTGGAAGACCTGCTGTGTATTTATGGTTTATCCATCTGGCTTACAATAGTACAAAAATGTTACATTATTCTTAAAATGTTTTCTACAATTTGAAATGTACAAACAAAACTGATAGCTTAAGAAGTTGTATGTATGTAGCCAACTTCAGGGTTTAATTTTTGAATTAACTGGAAAATACTTCCTCATGCAGGGAAGCTGAATTGCCAGTAGTAAGAGAGAAACGCAACTGTCTCTGTGACCTCATGAAAGTGCCCAAACCGCAGCTGGTATCCAAGGTAAAGTATGGAAATGTGCTCCTGAGGATTTTTTCAAAGAAACAAAGTAATGATCAATTGTTCCACCAAATCTATGGTGTACTTCTGGATTTCTTCACTGGTTCATGAGTATATCAATGCGTACCAGGAGGGATGTCCTCACAGCTTACTACAGAATATATGGAATTGCTGAAGACTGTTGCCTTAAGCCCTTCCAGTCTCATTCCTTGAAAACATTCCAGACTTGTAGTGTGACATCTTACTCAGACAAAACGCAAGAATGAAATAATACAGTACAGATGTTTCAAAAACTGTTCATCTGCCTTTTCTGGGAAAAGAAAAAGGATAACTTCCCAGTCAATTTCAACAACGAAACTGTAACGTGGTTGTGCAAGCCACAGAATTGTAACACTGCCTAAGAGCAAGGATATAATCACAAAGTTAATACATTCATAAGAAGACAGACAATATATCCATATGTAGGTCCTGTTTCATTTTAATGCAGATAGTTTGGAATTGCCCATCTGCTCAGTATTTCAGAAGTACAGAATTTTCTGCTCTGGTCAGGGTTTCTGAGAGGTTCCTTTTCCCTCTGTCCAAAGATGGGGAGGCTCAATTATGACTGTTTCAGAGAACATGTGTTAACATGACAATTTAGAAAGAAAAATCAGTTTTACTTTGAGTAATACAAGACAAGGTAGCAACGCTTGATGACCCAAGGCTACTTCCCTAGTATCACAGGCATCCACAGCATGTAATCTATTCCATAAACTGATTAAGCTTAAAAATAGGGGTATATCAATTTATTCTTGTCCTTGGTAATGTTTATTGTTCTGCTTTCATAGTTCTAGAAAGTTGTGTCCTCTGTAATTATTTTAGAATTCAGAAACATCACCTGTGCAGTCTTCTTTCCTAAGTTTTTCCTAATAGGGTGAACCTTCATTCCCTTCATTATTGGAACACCATTAAGTTTATTTTCATGACTAGAATTATGCAAAGCATTATTTTCTTGTCCTGCACAGTTCCACTCCAGAATTGCATTAGCCTTTTTCACAGCTGCCGCATTTGTGGCTGAAAGACACCAAATCTTCTCTCCTGCACAGCACCTAAAGGTGATCTTAGCTAATGGCGTTTTTAAAGTGCTTGTTGAACTTGCTCTTTGGGATATTGCATTATGTTTCCTCCTGTGTAATATTCTAGTAATCCTTTACACTGAAGATGCTTCCTAATGTAAGTACAGCCTATGTTTTGAGTTACCATTCATATAAAAAAATATATATATTTTTTTAAAAAGTATATTTTAAAAATTGGTCAGAAGACTAATACTTAAGACATCTATGAATAACCTTCAAAGACACCCTGCTGTGCCCCACAGCAGTCTTCTCTGCTCATCTTCCTGTTCTTACCAAGTCATGTCTACAGTTTTCTGCTTTTAGTAAAATTTTAAGACATCTGCAACTAACATTTTTGTAATTTTGGAAAACAAGAATCTGAACCTCTCGCCCATACAAGGCATTGTTTTTAGAGCAAAAGCTGACCCGAGCATTGCTGTTTCAAGGTTTTTTAGTCAACCAATAGAAATGTTATGTTCAGAATGAAGATGTTACAAGATGAATTCACTGATCTCAAAAAAAAAAATCTTATTTCAACTCCTTAATTATTGGAGGCTGAGAGAAGCCTGACAAGTTAGGAGAAAACTGTCCCAATATAAACAAAAGAATAAGAAATAGCCAAATATACATACAGGTATTCTTTCAGATGGAACTGTTACAAATAGTATCATGTGCAATTTGGAAGTTATGTGGCCGAATTTGGAACCTCACATTTTCTTCCTCTTAACATAAGCAAATAGTTAGTATAACTTTTAGCAAAAGAGCTAAGCCTGCACCTGCCCTGAGAACTGTTGGAGTTCACTCTGAGAGTGATACTTAGTCAACTTAAAGGACTTCTCACAGCTGTCCAGATGTCTCTACTAGCAGCCAGTTTGTGCTCACACTCTGCTCTTCTTCAAGAGCTCACAGATCCTGAGAACAGGAGAGAAACAATAAAGGAAGACAAGCATAACATTTTGAAAAGGGGAATGAAGTCAATTTTGTATGAAGCCAACACTTGTCATTCCTTTAAAACTTGTAAAAATAAAATTTGCTAAACGGTAAAGGTGTTAAGAAGGACTATAAATATTATAGCTTTGTATGTCTATATTTTCTTCTCCATTTAGTTTACTGAATTACATGATTGGGATACTGTTAAGATAGTGATAAATGCTACTCCCTGTGACCTCTTTCTTCTTTTCTTCTGTCTTGTAGAGTTCAGCGTAATGAAGTTGCAGGCACTGGCTGCTGGTTTGTAAACTGAAGCTCGGTTCACGTGCCATTAGGACTGAAGAGTTTGTGCTGCAGCATCCTGACAAACTGGATTCTCAGCATGAGCTTCAAAGTGCGCTGTTTAACAAAATAAGAGACAGAGATTATGTCTTAAAGCATTGTGCAGATATGCCACAGGAAGGCAACAAAGATTCACTGTGTTTTCAGTTTTTAAAGTCATTATCTGTAGCCACAAGATGGCGGTTTCTCTTCGTATTTCTGTCACAATTGACCTGAGGTTTTTTTTTTATGTCAATGATTTATACTTCTACAACTCTGAATGGAGCCATTCAGCCTGTGCTTGCTTTACACACATTAAGTATTAAACCTGACTTGCTGCATTAGTCTCTTAAAACAATTGTTTTTCAGAGGTAAGAATGGCAACGCTTAGTGATAATGAAATCTTCCTGAACATGAAGTATCGCTGTGGATAAGAAGTCTGTCATGTCATAGTTGAACAAAAAAATCCAGGTTTCACTTCAGCTAAAGTCAAGGCTTCTCTTAGTAGCTCTTTATGTAACTAATTCAAGCAAATGTTTTTTGTGGTAAACTAGCTCTAGGGACTGAAGCTTTTTTTTCCCCTTGAAGAACAGAGGTGAATCAGTACCTCAAGCACCTTGCTAAGAATTTAGACCCTTACTGACTATAAAATGAAATGGCTATAACATTTTTCTTTAGTAAAACTAATAATATGATGGGGAGGACAAATGCACAGGCAACGTGATATTCTAGTTACACTGTATTATTTGATGGTTCTAATTAAATCCCACTATCCCAGCACTTCAAGTAGAACAGTGGTGCTGTGTGTGAAAATTTGAAAGGAAGGAAAAATTCAGGCAGAGAAGCTAAAACCAAGCCAGTTTCTCTGTGAAGTACCTGCTACAAACCGCAGCAATCTTCTACTGCAGGTGTTCATTTCCCAAACTGCAACCTGTCTGTCTCTAAGATTCTTTTTCATTTTCAAGAATATAACTATAAATTATATTATTCAATACTTCTTAAGTATACTTGCAACCTGGTCTGGCAGATGAAATTCAATGTAGATCAGTGTTACTCACTGACTAACTATTAAACAAACAGTATTCAATTCACACACTGTGCAACAGACAGAGTTGGCCGTGCGGCTGCACACACCACAGGGGCTCCTTCCAGGCATTACTGCAGCAGAAATACTCCTGAATCCACAGCCCCTATGTTGTTACGCTGCCATTACTACAGAAGTTTCTAGTACATTCTTGAAAGATCTTGGGTTTTGCAAAGTTATACCTTTAGGTCCCTGCTGCAAGAAAAACATGAGTTGTGCTTACTCAAAAAAACCTGAGAAGGTCCAGTGAAAATTGTGAGCATCTGTACATGTGATCATCTGGCTGCCAGATGACATTACAGACACAACTGTACTTCTCACACAGCCCCGAATCAGAGGATGCCATTGCTGGATCTCAGTACTAGCCCTGTGCAGAGCTTTACCTCAGCAAGCCCCAGCTGCTGCTCCCTGCAGCAGGAAATGAGCCAGTCACAGGGAATGGGTGAGGGCCCCAAGCAGTGTTTGACAGAAACCTCTCTTTACACTTCCAGTGGTTATAGGCTTTGCTTGATGCATTTTTAAGGCTTCCCTATGGTAACAGTCCTCTTGTAATCTTCTGGCCTGTATTTGATGGTTATTTAAATTAGAAATACAATTTAACAATCAAACTGAGTTTGGTAAACAAGTGATGTGCAATAAGAAAATGAGCAAATAGCATTATCCACAGAGTAACTAGGACCTCCCTTAGAAAGGGGTTACTCAGTACAAAGAATAATGAAGCACAAATTACTAAAAAATTCTAAACCTGTGCGCATTTTGGTCTTCCTACACACAGATACACAGAGGATAACACAGCTTCAGTATCACTGCCTTACCTTGGTTTTTAGTTAAAGTGGTAGTAATCCATCCCTTCCTTCAAGTTCAGCGTGTTCAGGTTTGTTTCAAATGCTCCACCTGTCAAATCCTGTGAGGGAAGAAAAAGAGAATTAGATCAACCAGACAAACTCCTTTCAGGTTGTAACAGGTTTTGGTAAGTTGGTTCTTTAGACCAAAGAAGAAGGTCCCATTTGTGGAACTAAACATAAATAAATAAAGGCTCAGAAACATTTCCATTCAAAGATTAAGTGTATGCTGAAAACTTAGTGTTCAAATTAATATGAGGGGGTGGGGTGGGCAGATATTAGACACCGCATTCTCCTGCTGTGTAGAGCACAAGGGCTATACTAAGCTCTGCAGATTTTGTTTTCTAATGCAGGCATTTTCAGAGACTGGACCAAGGGAATGAGTTTGACAAAACAGTGATTTTTGTAGATTTTGAACAATGATTAGCTTGTCCGATGAACAAACCTTTCATCAAGTAACTGAAATACTTTGCATAGTTAAAGATGTTTCCTTTTGAGCCCTAGTTACATTATCTGAACAGGAACCTGTTCAGATTGCTCCATGAGCAATCTTGCAAGGCAGTGATGTCATTAAGAAAACATGACACCTTCAGCGTTCCTACTTTGTTCTTCCTGAAGTCCTTAATTGTACTGATCTTCAGGAATCTCACCAAAAAAAAAAAAAAATGAATTGAACCTCACAACACTGTAGGAGGTAAGTAAAGAGATCACTGGTGTTCTTTTGGTTGGCCCAGAGCAGCAATATTGACATTTTAACAATGTACAACAATACTGCAAGTGTTTAGGACAGGAACTTACAAAAACAGCGTCCAACTGAAACTGTGGAATTAAAGGAGGTGGAACGCTACACTTTGGCTAGAATAATAGGCTTCAAAAAATTTCTCTGGGATCTTTAATGAACCTGATTTCAGAAACTAAGGTTTCTGTCCCACATGGAGGACTGTACAGCCAGCTTCCCAGCTCACTGTGGACCCATCAGCTGAACTGCTTATAAAAGTGCTTATCGTATTTGGGTGTTGCTTGGAAGCCTTCCATTCAAGAACACTGCCCTCTCCGTCAACAGGGGGTCTAATAACAAAACAAGCTGACCTGTCTTCTCCAAACCTCTCCATTGTTTCTGCTGCCTGAATTTATATAGGAAACACTGTGTGCATACATTTCAAACTTCTTGCCCAAACGAGCATGCTATGCCTGAAGATCACAGATTAGCTCTCCTTTCTTCTATATAATTCTCATCTACCTGCCACATTCTTCTATTTTCACTAGCAATGCCAAAAAATAAAAAGATGACATAATCTGATCCAGAACTTCAACAAAAGACAAAACCACCAGTCATAAAATTCATAATTGAACTCTGATCTTTACTAACCCTAAAAAAAGCATAGCTAATGAATAATTTGAAGTGCAGGAAAGGGCCCACGGCTTTTTAAGCAAGGGCTCCACTTAAGGTAACCAATTTCTTACCTGAGCAATAAGGCCCCGATTGTGAAAGATGTTTAGTACTTTTTGTTGTTGTTGGTTTTTTTACTTCCTGAAATCAAGAAAATACTTGATGGTATTTAGTACTTTGAAGGACTGGGTCCTAGTTTTGCAATTCAGTTTAAGATCCCAGACTGTCACTGGTCCATCTGCAAAACTTAACACACCAACAGGGAATTCCACTCAGAAATGTAGGCCTTGATTACGACCTTTAGCCTCCACTAATGATTTCATAAACCCAAGATTTCGCAAGTTAGGACATAGGGTATGGAACAGTTGTGTTTAGCTTGCTGAAAAATCAACCTGCTCAAAAGAAGGGTTAAAAAAAAAATATATATATAAAAGAGCCCAGATGCTAAATTAAGCAGGAGAGTTAAATCTTTCATTCGCAGAGCACAAGACTGAAGTGACAGAACAAGGCAGAGTTTTACAATAACTGGTCTAACAGTAAATTTACTGAAAACTTTATACAATCAAACTAGTGTAATTACTGAGACAGAAAAATAAAAATCCCTTTCATTTCAAGCACTTGGAATCCATGCCAAAACAGGGCACAATACATGATTTCTAAGCATTTTGCTTTTACCTCAAAGCGAGAGAAAACACCCAGTGCAGACCCTTACGTGACGTGGTACTGCAGGCTGCTACACAATTTTGACAAGCTAAAGCCAGAATTTTACTCTCTTCAGCAAAAACTTACACATGTACACACACACACACAGAGCAGAATTTCAGCTACAGCCATTTGTGAAGACATTTTAAAATGCAAACTGAGCAAAGATCACAAGGATGACTGCTTTTCCAAGTATGATTTTATATGGTAACAAAGTAATGCCAATGCTAGCAAGGGAGGAACTGCCTGAAAAAATAAATAAGCAAACACTGCTCCCAACTACATGTCCAGCAGAGTTGTTTCTTGCAAACAGCTCGCTCACTTCCTTACTTAATAAACATACCTAATCTTCAAAATCACCCTCTTAGAGCTGTATATAAACATGCAGGTTTTGCCTGTATCAAAACTAAAAATAATCCCCTATCAAGAACAGCAACATGAAAGACAATAAGGTCTCAGGACACTTCCTTCTTCAGAAGGATGGTGATGAACTTATGTTGGTAAATAATAAAGCTAAATTTGGAAGTCTGGGATGTTCAGGAATTTTTTAATTACTTTTGTTTAAGAAATTAGCCAAAAGAATCTGCAGCTACTTCTGCCTTACCTAAACGTCCAATAGTTCCGTGCAACATGGAGCTAGGTCGTAGTTGTTGCATTGACAGCTGTCTACACAAGAAACGTCCGTGCGTTCACTAGGGTTTTTGTATGTTTGCTTGCTGCGTGACCTGAAACACAGGGCTGGGTAAAGCTACTTCCCCTAAATAGTTTGAAAATACAGGTCATTTGTAACCTCTTCAGCACAGGAGTTTTGTTTTTCTCCTTACAGTATGCGCAAGGAGAGCACCGTTTTTGCAGAGGAATTTTGTGTCTCAGATGTAGTATTCCACAGCAGCCTGGGACTTTAACTTGTAACAGCAACATTATTTGCACAGTTTGATTTGATAAATCTGGATGAATAGCATCAGAGAGGCAGCGATAGCTATTGCAAAAAAGACAACATTTTCCATTTGATGCAGTCTTAATATTTTACGTACTTGTCCGCTATCCTACTTTTCCTATGCTCCCACTTTCAAAAAGCATGTTGGAAGAAGAAATGTAGAAAAGGTGATTAAAGAAAAGCAAGTGGGATGTTTTGTTTTTAGCTGTTCTTCAGATGTGGGCTGCACAGAAAGCAAGGCAAACTCAACCCGTAAATACAGCAAAGATTAACCCTCAGCATTATACCTGGCCTGCACAATATCATTGCAGATGAATGAAAAAGTTCAATACTTTGCTCTTCTCAACCCATTATAGAAACTATTTCCTTTAGTGGTCAGGTCTAGAAGCTTGAAAGCTGCTGCAGACAGGCTACCTGAATTATTTTAAACCACAGACTTTTATCAACTTGTTTTGTTTTGGTAGAAGACTATTCTCCATGACAAAACTACTGCTGAAAACAGTGCCCGTTTCAATCCACCCACAACCTTGCAAGTAGGAAGAGTGGGATTTCATGGATTTTGACAGCCTCCACAAAGACTCCTAATAGGAATGAAATACAGCAAGTACAACAACAGCTGAAAGAGGTTACTAAAAACTATTCCTTAAGATCAGCTGCGAAACCAAATGGTAGGAAAAAGGAGGGTCCGGCAGACTTGGTTCGGGAGTGGGACTTGGAGCACTGCTACTTGCTTCCTGAGACCCTCTGGTTCCTTTTCTCTCTCCACTGGGTTTATATTTCCTACACTTTGCTACAGATATATTTATGGGTTTTATTTCTTTCTTACGTAGTCTGTGGTTTCTCAGGTGATAACAGGGTATTAGGCACCGCTAACAGAAAAATCCGGTTTCAGTTCTTTATTATAAATTTGTTTTTCCAACACCCTGATTATCTGTCTTCATAATATTAAAATAATAATATGGTATAACAACATAGGTGAACTGTGAGGTTCATAGTATTAACAGGTATTTTTAAAATCTGTAGAAAGGTAAGCGCCATTAGGGACTTTCACTATGTTGTTATGCAAGTTCATTATCAGCATTGTTCTTTTCTGTTTGGCCACTATTTTGTTTTCCCAGTGCATAACGCTGCTGGAACTCCACATGGATTGATGTTTATTTACCTCTGCACTAGGGTGTTTTTGCCATCAGCTCTTATAACACCAACATTCACAGTAGCTGTGTAATTCAGTCATGAAGTGAGAGGGGTAAGGGGTAACTTGCCTGCAGTTTCTAGAGATTTGGCTCCATACAAATAGCTTTTGACTTTTTTTAACTTCTAAAAAGTGACCTGCTTCAAACACAGATTTTAGAAGCAACTTTACAAACTCTGAAACTGTTTCAAGCAGGTCAAACTGTATTTCCAAAGAAAATACTGCATGTTACTTAAACGATACTATGGCTTATAGCGTTCTGTGATCAGCAAGTAGAAAATGCTCAGTGGCCAGGAGTGGAAAAATACACTGAAATCACAACTGAAGCCATGGACCAGAGTTTTCAGGCAAGATGTTGTATAATAGTCTCATTGTAAGGGCTTCACAAATTAAATGTGCTTTATAACAGGTTCCACAGATGTTTTGTCTAGGGACTTCCACCCACCATTATATGTAGTATGAAAAATTAAATTAGTTGTAATATTACTAGCTTATCCAAGAGTTTATCAACCAACAGTACATGATAATGCCCTAAGGTACTTTCAGTCTGGCTTTACAACTCATAGTTACGATCTCAGAGTTGATCGTAAAGTCGGGAGTGCTAAGTTAAAAGCAGGCTGTACCAGATGAGATGAGATTCAGCTAATCAATCTTTGAACAGATCTAGTGCAGCATTAGAATGTCGGTGTTTATATGTAGCTACAGGTTTTAATTACTGTTAGAGACTTTTTTACTAGCATTTGCAAATAGAATGTATTTTCTGTTTTGCTTTAAAACTTCTGTGTTAACCCATACACTGTGCTCTGCTATTTTAAATGTAGCAGCAAAATAACTGCTGGTTATCATCTTCTAGTTATGTTATTAGGTCAGTTAAACCATTTGAAATAAGAAAGTTACAAGAGTCGGGCACAGAAGCAGCTATGGAATTGGCAGTGCCAAAGAAAACGGCTTTTAAAGTCTGATTTAAAAAACAAAGCCTTTGCTATACAGAGGGCAGCAAAATAATAGGAATAAACGAGGCCAGGTGGCTGACTGTATGTGTTCATTTATGTTATAATGTTGGGCAAGAAAGTAAAACAGATCCAAGCGCCTTTACAGAAGCTGCACCTTTGATTATTCTTAATACTACTTTACTTAATACTGCTTTTTTAAATCCCTGAAATACTCTGCACAGTCAATTTGATAAAAAAGGCCATTCAATTGCATAGTAAAAGCTTCTGGGAAAAGCTATTTACCGTGAATAGAAATTCATTTTTCATAAGGAGCAAATACTGATTTTTGCACATAGAGCTAAGGCTAAAGGTGGTACTCACCAGCTTCACACAGATAATGAAAGGTGGAGTTGCATCTCTGAAGTGACGTATAGGAATTTTTCGTTTTGGTGTCTCCTGCAGGAAAAAGCAGCAGACTTTAGTAGAGAGGCACAGAGTGTTACTTTTGTTAGCTTAGTTTTAGGAGCTACTAAACACTAAGAGGGGAAAAAATTATTTTGAGGCCTCATGCTAAATAGTCCAGCTGGTCACATCTTCCACTCATTATTTTGCCAGTCATTTCAAGTACCCCTTATTTTCTTACCCTAATCTTTCAATACAATTGTGTTTCTCTGAACAAAGTTACACACTACACCAGATGCGAATTAAGAGCTTTCTGCTTTTGAAAGAAGGTCTCACTGCTCTCCTCCACTGCTTCTTCCTTACCTCCAAGCTCTACTTCTACCCCTTTCCCAAACAATTCCCTCTTTCATCTGATTGCAAGGTATGCTGCTTTAATAGCCTACCCCATAAAAAATATGTTCTTTCTTTTTTTGGCAGTTTAATTTTCTGCCACTTTAGTAAGCTGCACCAGCTTACTGTGCCAGCAGCGAAGCATTAGAGCAGGCACAATAGCGGATACAAAGGAGAATCTTTCCCTCTCAGTGGGAGCTGTTAAATGGCTTATGCCCAACTGGGACTTCACCATGGATCCAAGCTGCAGAATTTTCTGAGGATTCACAACAGGTTGCAGTACAATCTTCTTTACAACTGATCTGAGAGGATGGGTATGTCTTAGGAAGACAAATGCACAGGATCTGTAACAATTCTGCTGACAGTATTACTGCACTGGTAGTTAGTGAGTCCTCAGTATTTCAGGTCAAAATCCTGCACTCCAACTGTTTTCATGCAGCTGAAAGCACTCATTAGCTTCCCAGTATAGAATTTGATTTTACAGTTACTCTAGTCTAATCACAAGCTATATCTGAGGAGGTGCCCCTCCTCTCCCTCTACCCCTCCCTCAGTCCTACTCCCATCAGATATAAAAGGATCATGCAACCTCAGGGTAATTTGATTCACAAGATAACTTGCTGAAAAGCTTATTTTGAGGGTTTCTTTTCTGCCAGAGCAACTAACTGAATCAAGTCATCCTTTAGCTGCAAGATTGCAAGACCCATTATAAACAAAGCAGTGGAAGTGTGTGGCTGAGGCCAGTGAGCGAAGTCAGACCACCCCTGCACTTAGAGTGGCTAAGGGGTAATGTCAAATTGCACTCTCGGAAGACCGCGCTCACAGGATCGGGTCCAATGCCCAGTGAAACTAAGAACTGTCTTTTCACCAACTGTTGTAGGGACTGAATCTGGATGAAGCTTTACTCCAGGTCTTGAGCTAATTGCTATCATTAAATTAATACTGCAACAAGACAACATTTTTCTTCTATATGGTTTGTTTATTGCCATCTAAATATTGGCCTTCCTTGTCTAGGGAAGAAAATGTTGCTGCCTACAATTTTAGGCTCCCAAGGATCCTATTAAAGCTTTATTCAGATACAGTGTAACTATAATATACAGATAGGTTACAATTAATCACAGAAGCTTACTTTACTTTAATAGAGATTTCACTTTTATCCATCATGAGCCAAATTCTACCCCCACTTAAAAGAAAAAACTGTCAGTGAAGGCTATGTTTTACTCCATCATTGGAATCCTTTCAGAGTGTATATATTTCTGTCTTTCTAAACTGACTTCAGTGAGTGTGAGGTGCATAGTTCTGGCTCCATAGTTCACACTCCAGTATCAATCCCCAGCTATCTAGTCTTCTGTCACGGCCTCCTTAGCAAAATGAGTTGCCATACAATATTTAAAATCAGTGATGTATTCTTTCATCACATTTCCCAGAACACTTCCAGATCACAGTAAAGAATGCAAGAGTACTTACAACTAACCTCAGATTCTTTATAAGTGTAGAATCCTTTTGTTATTTTCTTTTCATCAACATCACAAAACGCAGCTACCTGGCAAAACAGAAGCAGAGCATTTCAATACTGTTCTTTGCTACCAGCAGGTATTTCACAGGCAGTGTATCTACGTAAGTAATGCTACAGGTATGTGAATGAACACAGCAATAGGGCAATGCACCCTGGTCCTCCTATGGAGCTTAAAAATTAAATCCTTTCCAGGTGTATCTTAAGGAGATGGGCAAAGTTTGCAGTTGTCTATGAGAATGTTGTTTTTATGAACATGAGAACAGGTGATCTAAGCTACTGACTGGGTAAGAGAAAACCTCTATGAGATCAACTTCATCCCAAGTGATATGCTAAGTAAACTAAAACCAGAGACTAGCCTCCTCATTTTGGCACTTCCACTAAATATCTAAGCTTATATAATACAAATCTTCCTCTTTCTGCCCACCCCAAGCATATCATCTACCACCAGATACCTCAGTACAGCCGTGCTGCTCTATTGCTTCAGATGCTCTGGCAATACTAGCCTCAATTCTTGGTCATAACACACCAAGTTTGGGAATTCCTATGGTTTTGGACTTTGTGTTTTTCAACTGAGAAGTTCAGCAGATTTGGTGTTTAAACACATATAATTACTGCTTCATTTTGGTTATTCTTACTGTAGTTATGGAAGCATTATTTGCAGCCCTAGTTGCCAAACATTTCAGATGGTTTTTTATTTGCATTCTTTATAAATATGCAGGCAGAATAAATGCCTGCAATCCAAAATACACAGTGGCCTCATTTTTAAGCCACTAGGTTGCCAGTAACATTTTGGAAGACTTTTTAAAATAAACGTAGCTGTGTTTTCCTCTGACTTCCATTGGATCTATTCATATTATCTACACAGAACTCTTACACTGAAGCAGAACAGTTAAGATAGTTAAGGTCTTGCAGAAATCAATTATTCTGGTGAAAGCTGGATAGCGTTTTTCCTATCTTTTTAATTGTTGCATTAAAAATTGATTAACAACACTTACTGCTGAGAAAATCTGAAAAGCCAAACAGCTGTTTATTAATTTATTAAGTTAGAGAAGGCTGCAAAAGGCTGGCTTGCTTTCTGTGTCTATGTCGTGGTTTAACCCCAGCCAGCAACTAAGCACCACGCAGCCGCTCACTCACTCCCCCACATCCAGTGGGATGGGGGAGAGAATCGGGAAAAGAAGTAAAACTTGTGGGTTGAGATAAGAACGGTTTAATAGAACAGTAAAGAAGAAACTAATAATGATAATGATAACACTAGTAAAATGACAACAGTAGTAATAAAAGGATTGAAATGTACAAATGATGCGCAGGGCAATTGCTCACCACCCGCCGACCGACACCCAGCCAGTCCCCGAGCGGCGAATTCCCTGCCCCCCCCTTCCCAGTTCCTAAACTAGATGGGACGTCACATGGTATGGAATACACTGTTGGCCAGTTTGGGTCAGGTGCCCTGGCTGGGCATGAGAAGCTGAAAAATCCTTGACTGTAGTCTAAACACTACTGAGCAACAACTGAAAACATCAGTGTTATCAACATTCTTCACATACTGAACTCAAAACATCGCACTGTACCAGCTACTAGGAAGACAGTTAACTCTATCCCAGCTGAAACCAGGACAGTCTACAAATCTCTCTCACACATTTTCCTCCTGTAATTAAGATAGTTTTCTTTTACCTGAAGTGACCTCATTCTGTCTGTGCAGAGGAAAACACCTACACAAGAGCATAGGTGTCATAATGCTGAACTTTTGCATTCTTTATTGGTACTTCACTCCCGACACAGAGTGCCACCTTTACAGCCCAAGGGCAAAACTGCAGAGGAACAGAACTGTTACATGTGTTTTCAGGCAATGGCCAGATAGAGCTGCATTGTCTTGCAACATAAAAGGTGTTTCTACATCAAAAATACTTTGGAGATATTTCCACTATCCAACTGAACAGTTTTCTATCCAAATCCTTAAATACCATGATACCAGTTCTTCCATTAAACTTCAATGGAAAGAGAATACAAACAAAAATATCAAGGACTACAAATATGGCTAAACACCACCACCATACAAAGTCAGTGTGGAAAATGCAATAAATAATCTGGAGAGGGTAGGCAGGGATAGTCCTTGGAATGACTTAGAGGTAGATGTTCATACCTGGAAAATAGGTTGGTTGAAAACAGGCAACAAAAGAAATACAGAACAGAACATTAAGGAAACATTAAATTCTCACTTTGGGGCTGCATGACTAAAGGAATCACATTACAGGCCAGCAGATCCAGACTTTTGCTTTGGATGATCTGATGCAGGGATCGCCCAAAGGACACTTCCCCCTGTTTCAGGCATTTTAATGGAAATGGAAAGAAAGGAGGGAATTCAGGGCAGTCCTAGGAAGTTACTAGTCATTGTACAAGGTGCAGACATTGTACAAGGTACTGGGTTAGACAGCAGCAAACACAAGCAACTCCTTCAAGTACAAAGATGAAGAACCAGGATCTTAGCTTTCTTTTTTCTCTTAAACACAAGTTAGTACACTTTACATCCCTGACCCCATTTCCATGACCACTGTAATGCTTTATTGTAGTTGAAAAATCAGGTGGTGTGGACTGAGCACAGTAAACTACATCCCAAGATTTCCTCTACCCATCTTATTTATATGTGTGCATATACATACACACACATGTATATAAATATGTATACATATGAAGGGAAGCAAATAGAAGCCACTGTGGAAAGAGAGGTTACTCAGCTGTATACTTTTCATTCTGTGTTAACCACTTTTAAAAGTCTCCAAAATTCTGCAAATCTCAGTTCCACCACTAATGTTTTATTTTCCTAGAAGCTGTGATCATTATAAACAAAATTTAGCAGGCTACGTCTTCACTGTCAACCCAACAGAGGGAATAAATACACTCCAATACACTGATTGACATATCTTCCAGTAATTGAAGCTAGTTTTTTAGCTGCTTATACTCCTATAGATTTTAAAAACCAAAACGAAACCCCAGAACCTTTGACATAAGGTAAAGTGAAATTCTATCTACACTTTAATGTCCATAACTAAGAATTCACCTTCAAGATCTGTGCTGGCAAGTATCACACTATTCACCTTTAGCATGTTATAATACAGATAACAGAAACCCCTGACTGCTGCATAGATTTCTTCTTAACATGAGTGGTGTTAGAGAACCAAAGATAGTTCTTGTATCACTAGATTACCAATAATCATAACACTTCCTCTCATCCTGTGCCATAAGTCATACTACCGTATGCAGAAAATTTGGCAAACTGCCTTTGCCATACTAACCACCCAGCCCCCAGACACTCTTGCATAAAAAACCCCCGGTAACAGCAGCTGTGTGGAAAAAAAACAACAACCAAACACCCAACCTGACAGGTAAGTCTGTGACAAATTTCGCTTGGAAGATGGAAATGACTCTAAGCTTTTTTTGAGTTACCACTAAGGTATCTCCATGTCTAATTTTCAATGGATTCAGCCAGCTTACATCTGGTATTTACAGTATTATAAAACAGGTCAGACTTGGAATGGGCAATTTTTCTGCCAGACTGTACACCATGTGGGTGGCCAAAATGCAAGTCAACTATTTTTCTGACACACACTATTTATTTTCCAATTAAAGAAAATCTATGTCTGGAGTCTAAATACAGGACTTACGCACAGTTGTTTATCCTATAAGGAGAACTCAAGGCATCAGGCTTATATAAGCTGTTTACTTTATACTATTAGGATAAACTCAGAGTTACCTATTTATTTTCCTGCATTAATGGGCTTCTTTCTTGTATTTTTTTTATGAAAACCATCCATCCATACATGAACTATTGTCTCCCAGGGAGGAACCTATGAACCAAAGGTATAAAGCAGTCTCAAGTTGGGTTTTTTCCCCTCCTTCTAGCAAAATGGCTCTTTTGCAATGCCTCTGACAATACGACACCATTGAAGCTTATAGAGTCCTCAGATCACGCTTCAGTTCTAACAAAATATATAAATGATTACATATTTTTATTTTGGACATCACTTGTATGAAAATCTGCACAATTCCAAAACAAAGAAAAAAAGACTATTTCTCCGAGCTAAAAATTGGAAGAGACAGCTAGATATCTGTTATATACAAGCTACATAATTACTATAAGTGATTTTTATAAATATGGATTGCAACATACATTAACAACAGTGTAAGGGAAAAAGGAGAAGTAGTTTTCTCCCTCATAAGAGAAAGTTTATATGGCTCAAAAGATAAGATATTTACTCAAAAAAACCCTCTGCTGGGGAAGACACGTTTGAGGAATATAAAAGCTATTCTCTGGCTGCTTCTTTTTAATAACACAGCAGCTGTGTGAAGGGACACACAGGCTGGGACTATCAGACCTCCCTGTGGTAAAAGGAGATTAATGGGTAGTAGATTAATCCTACTCCAAATGTTCAATCTGAGAAGTCAGTAAGAGTGGGCTTGGGGTGCAGCTGTAATTGCCTAGCTGTTTGAGCTGTGCTACTATTACACAAAAATTAATAGTTTCTTTCATACTTAACTTGTTTACTGCCTTGTTGGCTACTGCAGAGGATGTTGCCTTACACTTCCCATTCCACTCAGATTTCCTAATGGAAAAACTGAAAGATTTCACCAGCCTAAAGTCCTTTTATGGTGAATGATCTTCATAGGATTTTATTCCCTCATCTTATTTTCACCTGTGGTCTGCTTTAGGCCTGTAATGTTAATTTACAGAAAGCAACAAAATGTAATCACAGCAAATTCTCAAGATCTGTTGTAGCTTCAAGGGTACGAGAGGCAAGTTTTACAAGGGAGAGTGAATAACTTAGTAGAGCATGACAGAAAAAAATGGACAACCTTTTTGATAAGTGGTCACTTGTACATTGTCTCCTCTCCCTCCTCATTACATCAATTGGTCTCATAAAATTTATCTTTAAAGAAGACAACCTGCAAACTCTCTACAAAATCCTGTATGAGCAGATCTTCCCTACTGCATTCCCTCCACATCTCATGCAATCCTTCATCCATTTTAA